CAGCGGTGAAGCCAACAGCATCCACAGCTGTGTGCCATTCACCCCCATCACTACATCTCTGATCCAGCTTCCTGTTAACACAGCTGCGGAGGCACTAGCCATAGACCCAAGTAGTTGGGTCCCTGCCACTGCCATAGGAGATGCAGAAAGTGTTTGGGCTCCAGGCTTTGGTCTGGCCCAGCTCTAGGTATTGCAGGGGATTGAACCACTAGATACAAGACATCTCGCTCTCACTCTGTCACTCTTGGCTTCCAAATAGGCAAATCAAAACGTTCCTATGGACAGGCACGGTAGCATAACAGGCTGTCCCGACCTTCAGCGCCAGCACTCTACATGGGCACCAGGCCTAGTCCCGGCTGCTCCACTCATCCAGCTCCCTGTTATACGCTGGGAAGACAGCAGAGAATGAGCTAAGTCCTTGGGCCCCTGCTGCCACGAGGCAGACACTCCGGGCTCCTGGCTTCCGAGTGGCTCAACTCTTGCTTTTGTGGTGATTTGGGGAGTGAATCAGTGGATGGAAGATCTCTTTCTCTTTCTCCTACCTGTAATTATGCCTTTCAAATAAAAATTCCCAACCTCCCCCCTCCCCAAATTTAAGAAAAAAAGTTTCTGGACCCGGCGTGGTAGCCTAGTGGCAAAGGTCCTGGCCTTGCACACACCGGGATCTCATATGTGCACCAGTCCGTATCCTGGCTGCTCCACCTCCCTCCCAGCTCCCTGCTTGTGGCCCGGGAAAGCAGTTGAAGACGGCCCAAAGCCTTAGGGACCTGCACCCAAGTGGGAGACCCAGAAGAAGCTCCGGGCTCCTGGCTTTGGATCGGCGCAGCACCGGCTGCTGCGGTTACTTGGGGAGTGAATCAGCGATGGAAGATCTGTCATCTGTCTTACCTCCTCTATAAATATGACTTTCTAATTTAAAAAAAATCTTTAAAAAAAGTTTCTACAAAATAACATGAAGCATAAACTCAGTAAGGGAGGACAGGCTACGAACTACTTCACATAATCCCCTTTCAAGAGCTCCTCACCGAAGCTGGAACACATGTTCTAGCTGGCGGACAGTAAGGGAGTCCAGGCAAGCGACAAGGTCTTGAGAGTCGACAGCGTAGGTTAGAGAAAGAAGCAAGAAGGAAACGGAGGAGTGGAAGGAGGGGTGGAGACACCCTCCTCCTAAGCTGACAGGAAAAAACGGAGATTCAGCACGTGAAAAGCCACGAATTTCACCTCCCTACTCAGCGCCGGCTGCCTGCCTCTATTTCCAGCTGCAGACACTCACCATCTAATACAAACCCCGGAAGCATCCAGAAGTCCGTTACACTTGGCTGTAGTCTAGAAGTCCTCTAGTGACCCGTCACGGGCTCGGCGGAGCGCTTCATCCAACACTGGAGACAGCTTCTTCCTCTAACACACGGTGCTCACACACACACACTGGAGACCGCTTCTTCCTCTAACACACAGTGCTCACACACACACTGAGGCTCACTTGGAACATGTGCTCAAGAGCTGGGGTTTCGGGCCCAGCGGCGTGGCCTAGTGGCTAAGGTCTTCGCCTTGAATGAGCCGGAATCCTATGTGGTCGCTGGTTCTAATCCTGGCGCTCCACTTCCTCTCTATCTCTCCTGTGTATCTGACTTTGTAATAAAAATAATAAATCTTTAAAAAAAAAAAAAAGAGTTGGGGTTTCAAAGAGATGTAGCTACAAGTTAATGTAATATCAAAAGCCAGATGTTGCAATACTGCGTTAAATGGTGCTCGGGTCATGAACTGCGCACTGTAACGTGGAGGACCCCCATGTCAGTCATCTCAAGGCACATTTCAAAACGTTTCAAACACAAACTTTAATCCATCCTCTCTGACCTGTATTTTTTTCCACCCACTACATCCTCTTTCATTAAAAGTAACAGAAGGGAAACTATTTTGAAATCGGAGTGAGACTTCCACACCCAGCTGCAGCTTCCACAGGATACCATCATGACGAAGCTGGCATGACTCACAACTTTCCTGAATTATGCAACAGCTAACAGCTCACGGAAGTCGTTCTTGGCGACCCACGGAGCGCTCCAACGCCAGCACGCACGCGCTACGTGCCACGGCCTTCGGCAAAAGGCTGCCACGTGCCTAGTCAGAACGTAGTGCTGCCATGATGGGAGCTGCAGAACAAGTAGGCTAGCAAAAGATAAACCACACTCTAACCAGAAACTACCACTGCTGCTTGTCAACTCAAACATGGCAGCAGGGTTGAATAACACATGTCCTGGGCTGTAAAACACACAAAGGCATTTTTCAAACGCCTAGCAAGCATGCTACACTGCTCACTCTGTAAATCCGCATCCTCGGAGCCTCCCGGGACCCGTAACTCCTCCCACATCCTTCCCGACCGTGTCCCCACCAGGCGTGTCCTTGTCTCTTCATAACCTCTCCCAGGAAGCCCTCACCACCTTCGGGGCACTAAGCTCTCCTTCCTGTTGTTTAAATCTCTGTACAGATCACTATCCCACTAAGCCACAAGCATTTATTTTTTTTTATTCTTTTAAATTCTGACACTTGTTTTCATTTAAGATTTATTTATTTTGTGTCTGGTGCGATAGTCTAGCAACTTAAGTCCTCGCCTTGCATGGGCATCCCACATGGGCGCTGGCTCTAATCCTGGTAGCCCCGCTTCCCATCCAGCTCCCTGCTTGTGACCTGGGAAAGCAGTGGAGGACGGCCCAAAGCCTTGGGACTGTGCACCTGTGTGGGAGACCTGGAGGAAGTTCCTGGCTCCTGGCTTGGCTCAGTGCAGCTCCGGTCATTTTGGCTGCTGGGGGAGTGAATCAACAGACAGAAGATTTTCTTGTCTCTCTTCCTCCTGTATATCTAACTTTCCAATAAAAAACAATAAATCTTTTTCAAAAAGATTTAGTTATTGGAAAGTCAAATTTACAGAGTGAAGAAGAGACAGAACACAAAGTGGCGCACATACGGAATCCTGATGCATGCAAGGTGAGGATTTTAGCCACTAGGCTACCGTACCAGGCCCAAGTCATCAGCATTGAAAGATGCACAACTGGCAGGTAGCGTGTGAACCTCAAACATTTGATGACTAAACAGATAAGTCGCAAATTTTCCTGCACAAATGAACTCCACTTTACAAACGAATGGCGGGGGGGGGGGGGGGGCTGGTAGTACTCAGCAGGTTAAGCCACCACCTGTAACAGCAGCATCCCACATAGGTGCCAGAATCCCAACGACTCTGCTCCCGGCCGGGGAGTGCGGCAGAGGCCGGCCCCAGTGCTTGCAGCCACACAGCTCTGCTCCCGGCCGGGGAGTGCGGCAGAGGCCGGCCCAGTGCTTGCAGCCACACGAGCTCTGGCCAGCATCCCAGGTTTCTACCGCTGGCCTGCTCTGGTCACCTGGGAAGTGAACCAGCAGGTGAGCGATCTCCGCGTTCCTTCCTCTAACACTTCCTTTCAAGTAAATAAATCTCTAAAAGGCGCAGCAGCTGCCCAGTGTGTTTAGCACAAGTGCAGCTGCTGCCTGGGGAGGCCTGAAACCCACATGCAAGTGCCAATCCCAGCTCGCTGCTCCACTTCCCACCCAGCTCCTGCCAAGGCAGCAAGCACCCAATGCTTTAAGTCCTTGGCCTTCTGCCACCCACATGGGAGACTCAGTTCCAGGCTCCTGGCTTCAGCTTGGTCCACCCCTGGTTATCATAGACATTTGTAGAATGAATCAATGGCTGGAATATCTTTTGTTCGTTGTCACTCTGCCTTTCAAATTAATAAATCTACTTAAAAAAAAAAAGGTCAGAAATGGGGCCCAGCATGGTAGCCTAGCGGCTGAGGTCCTTGCCCTTCACGCACCGGGAAACCATAGAAGCACGGGTTCGTGTGCTGGCTGCTCCACTTCTCATCCAGCTCCCTGCTAGTGTGCCTGAGAAAGCAGCAGAGGATGGCCCAAGTGCAGCTGCACCCACGTGGGAGATCCAGAGGAAGTTCCTGGCTCCAGCCTCTGGCCAGAGGAAGCAAACCAGCAAACCCAAGCTCTCCATCTTTCTCTCTCTCTCTCTCTCTGTAACTCTTTCAAATAACTAAACAAATCTTTAAGAAAAAGGGACTTAAGCGCCTCAATACATAGGCGCCAACATGGCGCTTTCCACCAACGTTCCTCCCTCCAGAGCAGCCCTGCTTCAAGACCCTCAGTCCCCATGGACTCAGCCCTCGCCGTTCACCACGCCAGCTGCCTGTCACCCACCAACTCAAGACCAGCACCAGGGGCACCCCTGCCACCCTCGTCAGCCAAGTACAGCTCTGTCCACGGAGCAAGAAAACAGGCAAACTAAGAAGGAAGCATCTTACACACCACTGCGCTGCATGTCCCTGGGGGCACGAAGGGAGCCAGGCACCCAGGCGACGCCGGCACAGGGCAGGGCCGCCGCCTGGCACACCGCGGAGTCCACTGTTGGCGCTCTGCTCCCAATTAACCAAACTGTGGCACCTGGCAACTCTCGCAGCCCGAGAAGCTCTCGTACCGGCGAGCGGCAGCCTCGGCCCGGGCCCCAGCACCCTACGAGGCCGAGCTGCCGCCGGCGCGCCCCGCCACCCTCACCCACCGCCGGCCCCACGTCCACGCGGGGCGCGTGCAGCAAAGCCGCCGGGCGCCGCCTCCCGAGTCCCTCCTACAGCTGAAATTCGAGCTCGCTCCTCGCAGGAACACACACCCCACGGGAACAGCTGTGCGGAGCCGGGCAGCCCCAGACCTCGCGCCTTCCGAACCCCAGAACGACGAACTCGGGGGGCAGACACCCCGCTCCCCGGCTCGGCCCCCTCGGACACTCCCTTTCCCTTCCAGAGACAAGCCGCCCCCGGTCTCCCCAACTCCTTCCCCAAACGCAGAGCGCCACACCCCCTTCCTACAGACAAAACTTGGGGACCCCGCCCCCAAGAAACCCCACAGCCAGCCCGCTCCCCGTCCCAGCCCGACCCTCGGCGGCGCGTCCCCGGCGGCCGGCCCCCGGGCTTTACCGAGTCGCGGGTGGGAGTCGAACCCCGCGCCGTCCGGAGGTCGCGGCGCCAACACCAAAGGAACCAAGCCGGTGAGGAAGAGGAGCCGCGGCCTCATGGTCCCTCTGCGGGCAGACCTCGCCTGACCGGGCTGCGGAGAACTGCTCACATGGAGGGGACTAGCAGGTCCCCGCGCGGCGCGGCCCCTCCGACCCCGGCTCCCGCCCGTGCCGCCTCCGGGAAGGCTCCCTCTCGGGCCAGACTCGAGGCCCCCGGAAGTGCAGGCGGCGCCCGGAGAGGCCGGCTCAGACGGCGGAAGGCAGGCGCCGCGCGGCACGCCGGGAGCTCGGGGTGGCCGCGCCCCGGCCCCGGCTGCAGGCTGGCCGCCATCTTGTGCTGCCCCCGCCCGTTCCGCCCGTGGGGCTCCGGCCGGCCCCTGCCTGGACGCGGCCCGGCCACGTCCTCGCTTGACCCGGTCAGGTCTGGCCGCGCCTCTGTCCCGGGTGGCCGCAGGGAGCGGACGCTGCAGTGCCCAGCCTGGTCGGCCTGGGGCAGGAGGAGGGCCCTTGAGGGGTGGCATGGGCGGACCCCACCTGCTCCCAACCCGTGTTTCTGGTGGGAGAGCGAGGGCTACCGAGAGTCGTGTCCCCACGCCGCCGCTGCGGGCTGAATGTCCACTTGGCCGTTGTCCACGGAAAAGGCGCTCCCCCAAATGCCTGTTTACTGCTTGGCCCCGCTGTAGGGCAGGTAAGCCGAGAATCCAAAAACCAGATTTCAGTCGTCTTGGTCCATTCCGCTAGAAACTTCCATTTCACCAGAAACTTCAGAAGGCAGTTTGTGGGTTTTTTTTTTTTTTTTTTTTTTGCAGTGCTTTGTATGAATTTAGCTCGGTGTGGCTTTACCGTGTGTGGTGCTAAATAAAACTTAACGACTTTGGATGCAAGTTGTTATTTTTATTACAATAAGGCTTACGCGGGGGCCGTGTGGTGGCGCCTCCGGGATGGTTGGTTTGGGCAGGTTCTGGTAGATTCCAGCCCCTCCCGTCACGACGACCTAAGCAGACGCTTGTGGTCCACTCAGGGGAAAGGACACAGCCCCTGCGCCTAACTTCAGCCGCCCATTCTGCCTTTCAAATAAGTAATCGTGTTAATTAAAACACACACACACCAGCTCCTAGGAGCAGTAGGACAGCCATATTCTGAGGAATGGTGTAAACTGAGAATACATCACCGTACCAGGCCAGACTTCAGTTCTCAGCATTTTTTCCCTCACAGTTATACTAATCACTGGCTGGGTGTCTTATACCAGCTGAACATGGCATGCATCTTAAAGACGCGTCCATGGTACAACTAATTAGAAAGTACAAACATTGTATATAGTTTTCTTAAGCATGTGGGGGCCTTGGGCAATGAGATAAGCCTCTGAGATGGCAGCATCCCATGGGAGCGCCAAGCTGTATCCTGGCTGCTTTGCTTCAGATCTGGCTCCCTGCTAACGCACCTGGGAAGTGAGCTGACCATGGCGCAAGTGCTTGGCCCCTGCACTCCTCTGGGAGATAGGGAAGAAGCTCCTGGCTTTGGCCTGATGCAGCATCGTCTGTTTGGACCATTGCAGAGTAGCGATAGAAGGCCTCTAACTGCCTTCAAACAAGTAAATCTGCAAAACATGGCGATGTGTTCAGTTTCTCTGATAGACAACAAAATGGACATTTCTTCTCTGAATTTGTAAACAATATAGATTACATAATTAAAGAATACATTCTTGGGACCACAGCTGTGCATACTGCAGTAAAGCCATGACCTGGGACACAACATTTCACAGAGATGCCAGTTGGAGTCCAGGCTGTTCCACATCCCATCCAGCACCCTGACACCTGGGAAAGCACCTCAGGATGGTCCAAGTCCTCTGGGCCCCGAAGGAAGTGCCTGGCTCCTGGCTTCACGCTTTTTTTTTTTCTTTTAAGATTCACTTTTATTGGAAAAGCACATTTACAGAGAGGAGAGGCAGAGAGAAAGCTCTGGTGTGTGCTGGTTCACACTGGTGCAGGGTCCCAAGGCTTTGGACCGTCCTCTACTACTTTCCGAGGCTACAAACAGAGAGCTGGATGGGAAGTGGAGCAGTCAGGCCACAAAACGGTGCTCATGTGGATCCTGGCATGTGTAAGGCAAGGATTTAGCCACTGAGCCATCACGCCAGGCCCACTTATTAGGTTTTAGTACCTCTAACGGGAATAATGGCATCGGGGACCCACGTAGCGCAGCCATCTCCTGCTGCCTCCAGCGCTACATGCAAGTCTAAAGGTAAACTGGAAGCACAGGTGGGACTTGACCCCAGCAGTGGATGTCCCAGTGGCAGCTTGATGCCAACCGCCCAAAGCAGCCTGTCCCTTTTCCTAAGCAAAAGCCAGGGAATTTGGCAGTTCCCTATTCCAAGCCCAATACACAGAGCCCCTCCTGCAGATTCTGTCTTCTGTTCAGTATTTTACCCAGTTTCTGCCAAATACTCTGCCATTCCCCACAGCAGGGAGCCCTCCTAGCAATGGGGGGGTTGGGAGAGAATGGCAGGGGCGTTGCCATCATCTGGCCCAGGCCCTGGGCCTTGTCCTTGTGGCACACCACCCAGTTCTGCTTTCTGTTGTTTCCTGTGGGTGCCCTACGGTTTAGAAGCCAGAGTGTGGGTATGGGGCCTGGCAGCCAGAGACTTGGCACCATCATTTAACCTCTCCAGCAGGCAGAGATGTGGGGAAGTAGAGGTGGTATTGTAAAGCATGTTAACCTTGGGACCCTGCACGTACATGGGAGACACAGAAGAAGCTCCTGGCTTCAGATCAGCTCAGCTCTAGCTGTTGCAGCCACTTGGGGGGTGAACCAGCAGATGGAAGATTTTTCTGTCTCTCCTTGCTGTAAATCTGCCTTTCCAATAAAAAATAAATACATCTTTTAAAAAACAAAAATAACAGCCTGGCATGATAGTATAGCAGTTAAAAAGTCCTCACCTTGAATGCACCAGGATCCCATATGGTCACAGGTTCTAATCCCAGCAGCTCCACTTCCCATCCAGCTCCCTGCTTGTGGCCTGGGAAAGCAGTCGAGCACAGCTCAAAAAGGCTCCTGGCTTCAGATTGGCTCAGCTCCAGTAATTGTGGCCGCTTGGGGAGTGAACCATCGGACAGAATATCTTCTTCTCTGTCCCTTCTCCTCTCTGTATATCTGCCTTTCCAATAAAAATAAATAAATCTTTAAAAAAAATTTTTTAAATAATAACTATTTGTTGAGGCCACAGAACACTCGGAGGCAGAGCAACCAATGGGAAGGAATGTTCACGTTTTCCCTCTTCTTCTGTGTCTATATCTGTTCGATCTGTGGCTATCTGATCATTATTCCACAACTGTGACCCCTGAAGTCAGGGCACAGTGTGGGTGGACCCAGCTGGGCATTCGTTTCCTCCCGTGTTCTCCGCCTGTGTTCAGAACTTGGGGGAAGGCTGGCCCCGTCCTGGGCCAGTCAGCAGTCAGATGGCTTGGGGCTGGCATGGAAGTGACTCCATTTGAGGAATGTTATTTCTAGAGTCTGTCTCAGGGAAACAAAATCGCTAATAGTCTGGACTGATTTGCTCTTTGCCTTTGGCCATCAGGGAGAACAGTAAAACTCACAAGCAATTCCCAGTTGTCCCCTGAGCCAGGCAAGCTGACCTCCTTGTTGGCTCACTTTGTTGAGACGGACAAGAGCCATGTGCCTGGCTCTGTCCTACTCTCTCCCTGGGCCTGCTCAGCAGCATGCCAAGCCATCATGTAGCAGCCACGCCTGGGGACTCAGGGCCTTCAAAGGGCAGGATCTTGGGGCAGTGGTCTGTTTTCAACCTGCAGAGATGCTGATCTGGGGCAACAAGGGTGGTGTTTCATTTAGATGGAGTGTGCTCAGTAGCAATTTGAACTAGGAGGCACACAGTCCCTGGGCTTGGACATCCTTACGTAAGAACGGATCATTTGCCCCAGCAGACACCATAGCCTCAGCTGAGGCGAGAGGGGTCCCCAGTGAGCCATGAGGCCTGCTCAGAACAGCTTCCACCACAGGAACCACAGGAGCATTCTCCCCACTCCACACTGCTAGAGGGAGACATGCAGACACCTGTGCCTGTCTCCACAGTAGGGTACAGAGTGGGGCTTAGATGTCCCCAAGTGCTCATCCGCTTTGCTTCTTCTGAGGGACTGCTTGCCCCCAAAAGCCAGAACCTTAAGCAGCCGCCTAGTAGCTTCCTCAGCAAGAGTGCACATCAAACAAGGCAGCGGATACAGGAGCAGGATTTGGCAGGCCCTTGGCACTGTATCCATGGCAATGGATTTGTTATCTTGTGCCTTGTTCCAGAAATCATTTCAAAGCAGACACCCTTTTGTCATCCAGCCGGTGGCAGATGTGAAGCAGAAATGTACATGAATATGACTGCCATCTAGTCCCATGAGGCTTTCCAGCTCCGTTTTGGATTTTGGTTTGACCTGTATGTAATACCCCAGTTCCACAAGATTTTGCAGAGTATCATTCATAAAATCTATCCATGCCAATCCATGGGGTATGGAGTGTGCCAGTAAGGCCCTTGCATCTCCCTGGAGTTTAGACAAAAAAGCTTCAGGAACTGTCCTGATGCCACAGTGAGTGGCAGGAGGACAGACAACCCAGGGCTCCTCCATCTCACCAAGTCTGGCTCCTCTTCTCACCAATCCTGGATTCGAGCCACGGTGGAGGCAGGCTAGTTTCTGGTTGCCACCTGACAGGCAGAGCAGGCTCAAAGGGACAGCTGGAGGGCCCCCTGCAGAGCTGCCATGACATGGTTTTCAAGCTGAGCATCTACAGCAACATTCAAGGCAGACGCGAGGGCATTGTCCTACACAGTTGCTCTGAGCAAGAACGACACACTGGCCCTTGAGACTGATTTGCTTCAGGCGCTGGTGCCAGGGGTGCCAGTTTGAATCCAGCTCCCTGTTAATAAAGCAGCAGATGACCCACATGCCTGAGCTCCTGGATCCACGTGGGTGACACACAAGAAGCTCCTGTCTTTGGGATAGGTCAGCTCCAGCCATTGCAGTCATCTGGGGAGTGAGCCAGCTACCTTTCAAATACAAAAAATAAATCTCAGGGGAAAAAATGACTTGAATGGCAGAGCCACAGGAGGAAGACAGATTTCCTACCCTCACTGGTTCACCCTCCAATGGTCTCAAGAACCCAGGTTGGGACAGGCCTAAGCTGGAAGCCA